CTAAAAGTAAATAAAAGCAATGCATTTAGAATTTGTAAAACTGATATAAACTATATCTATTCACCTCTTATTATATCATATTATTATTCATATATTATTTTATTGTTTTAATGTCCAACTACTTGTTTTGAGTCAACTTTATTTTTGATGAACTATATATTTAAGGACACTTATACTATTTTAGTAATATGGAGTCTCAATTTAGGTCAATCTAAAGCTGAGGTTCATGTGAGGATTGTTCATCTAATAAAAATTATACATATGGCCTAGATGTTAGCCAGGTTTTTAATCAGTTTTAGCATAATGTCTTGCTTGTTAATATAATGCCAAGTTTGGAAAATAGCTAAATGTATGTCAAGCCCTCAATTTGCTATCCTAAGTTTTACTTATCTCGCATATATAGATCAGCTTGCCTTGATTATAATGTATAAATTATAAATATGCTTCTTGTGAAAATACTATTGTACTTGCGCATCATGCAATGCTGGCAAATACTTTTGTAATTCACGGTGTGTTCTGAATGTGTCAACAACCCAACTGGTTGCATTGCTTTTATTGATACAATTAAAAGAAAAATCAATTTTTAATGGGTTTTTACTGATAGATATTAAATTGATGGGTTAAATTAATGCTAACTTTGTACTGCCTCATGGACATAGTGTGAATATAATGCTAATAATCAATCGTTCAGAGCGCATTTCTACTTATACATTAAGTCTGAGTATACAATATCTATGAGATTGCAACCTGGCTATTTTCTGTTGATCCTCAATATGTAAGTAAGGTGTAAGTCTATTTTCAACTTGTGAATATAATCAGAACTATTGATTAACTTGGGCGGATATTAATGAAGTAGACATTAATTCAAATATGTGTTTGCAACATAGGTCATATTTTAAATACTGATGGTATCGCCAGCATCAAATATTAATTACTATTTTTAGAATTTTTATATAAAATATGTAAATATGTATTAATGTCTATGTAAGGAAGGGAAATTTTTGTTGTGATCATTATCGTTAAGATTTCTATAGATCAGATAATTGTTGATGTTTAAAATTTATTGATATCTGCTATAATCAAATTATTTGCCAAACTAGTTAATAAGGATACTTTATATTTTAATTGACACAAAGGGAAACATGTGCTCATTCTTGTAAGATATTTGGAAATCCATTAAATTCTGATGTATGTTTGAATGGCCATTTTCTACTGGAGATTCAATTATTCTAATAATTGATGTTACTGGAAAGTTGGATAATATGAATAGTAGAATCTCTATGGTATAGATGTGAACATCCATGTAAAGCATGCTTAATTTAAACAATATTTTGAGAATGTTTTCAATTATAGTGTGTGGTAGCTTATTTATTTGATTTTATTATTGTTAAATACATTACACGCAAAAGGGTAAGAAAGTTCAAAATAATCAATCTGTGTCTAATTTACTCTTAGATTAAAATGCTCAATTTAAAAGTATACAGGGTTTTTCTGAAATCAAAACAGTTCTTCTCAATGTTATTAAACTTGCTTAATTTACCTAAGTTGTAATTAAAAACTTTAACAAATTTTAAAGAATAGGAGATGTTTGTGTTACTAAAAATAATTTTGAAAATGAAGATACAGTTTTCATTTCATTCTGCTATTATTGGGGAAATCTTATAAAAGTTGCAAACATGAGAATTGTAAAGAGAAAAATTTTATAATGGAAATGATGTTAAAAGAATTGAAAATAATCATGTCTACTATAATTAAAGTTGCTCAAATTTTAGGATTGATCAAAACTATTTTGTTCTAATAAGATACTAAAAAATCAATATGTTTTCAATTTTCAACTAATGGCATTAAATGCCAACTTAATTCTTTGAAAATAATGTCAAAATATATTAAATCCTTGAATGAGATAATTTTTAGATAAAAATAACTGTGTTGAATGATCAATTTATTATTTAGAATGTATTGATTAGCCTATAAACGTATAAGTTGTAAATTTCCCTAATAAAGAATCATAACAATCAAATATATGAATCTGGGTATTATGCTGATGAAATAAATGCAACTTGCTTAAAACAATGTAGAGGTTACATTAAAGCAAATGAGAAGTAATGTGATGATGGAAATATTATTAAAGGCGATGGATGCGATTATTAAAATGAGTTAGAAAATATGTATATTATTGTAAGAGGTGCAAGTATAGTGCCAAATTATGGAAAACCCTTATTAAAGAGTTCAAGTTCTTCTTAAATTTTACTCTACTATTCGATTTTTTAAATTATATTTTACTTCTTACATTGTTGTTAATGAAAATTTTCAAATTAAAGACTATTTAACATCTCATTAATTATTGAATTATCTTGGTGTTTAAAATGGGCTAGCCCATCCAACTTACTCAAAATAATTCAATGATTAATGAGTTTAATGAATCTAAATTATGTTTATTGATAAATATCTCTTTCTCAAAATGTTGATAAGAAATCTTATTAACCAAAATTGTAACGTCTCTTTCAATGTATATTCTCTATGTATATATATATTCTGAATCGAAACGAAAGCATATTGCCTTATACCAAAAGTGATATATCGAGGTGATTTCACCATTGCTCAAATGCAATTAGCAACTAAGAGTAACTCTTCAGCTTTATTGGGGCAATGTGTAGTGTATCAGAGATATTCAGTAGAGTTAATGTTTTTTTAATTCTTTGGATACTTCTTAAATGCTAAAGTAAAATACAATAATTGAAAAAATATCTTTTTTTCGAAATACATTAACACATAACTCCCATATAATGTATAAACCTACTTAGAAATTTTTGGATTTACTCAATGTAACTTTATTTAACAGATTTTTGATTTCTCAGACAGCAAGCTAACTGAAATACCTTGTAATATTATTAATGTGTAATAACCAACAATCTCACCTGTACCTAAAATTTTATATTCTATCAAATTTAAGTGTTATTTTGGATCTGAAACCAAAAATTCTAAGCTAATCTAAATTGAAGTATTGATAATAAAATATCCATTATTAATAATTATTTAATCATTTATATACTATTTGATTGATGTTATAATTGCTAATTGCAATAACAAAAAGAGTGTACTCTATACGAAAATGGTTAATGCAAAGAGTGTAATGTTGAAGGATGGGAACTTAATATAAATAAATGCACTCCAATATGAGGAGATTAAATAATTTTTGGGTATGGAAGAATGTGATGATGGAAATGCGATTCCATTCGATGGACGTCATGAATGCAAAATTTGATGTGAAGAATAATGTGCTCTTTGTGAATATTGGGTTTGTAAGGCTTGTATCATGCGAAGATGAGTTCTTAATCAATATAATTAATGCACAATTAAGTGTGGAGATGGCATAGTTATTGATCCATACGAGTAATGTGACAATGGAAATAATATTCCATATGATGGGGGTTTTATGTGTAAATTTTAATGATCAGAAGGTTGTATTGAATGTCAACAAGAATAATGTAAAAAATGTGATGATTAAAATCAATTCGATATTGAAATAGTTAAATGTAAGAAATAACAATATGAAGATTATGATAATGATTAATTAATTGAGATATAGCTTATTTATTAGGCAAATTTAAGATCTGTAGAAAATGAAATATTAATTGACCACATTTTTATGAATCAATGTGGAAATGGAATGATAATGAATGAATATGAAGAATATGATGATGGAAATTATTATGGAGGAGATGGATGTTATAATTTATGTCATATAGAGGATTCATTTCAATGTATCACTTAGTAAAGCTATCAAGTTTAGCTTTATTAATTGGAAATACAATTATATTTTTTAATTTATTAGAACTATTATAGTCTTTATCTTATTTGAGATATATGTATTGTTAATTTCCACCCCATTTGAGTTATTTTTTAAATACTTACACTAAAATTTCAATGCAACCTATTTTTGATTATTTTTAGGTAGATTAATTATTGGGTAAATTAAATGGAGGCAGTAAATCAAATGAAGTAATAAAAAATTTGCTATAAAAATTTTCAAATTTATAAATATCAACTCTTAAAAAACAATTATTGGTTTAAACCTTTATTTTTTTTAAAATAGTATCATTATTGTTAATAATATATATTAATACTGCATTTCTGATTAATCCTGAGATTGAAATATAAATCATTTTTTAAAATTCTTTTTCTATTAAATAATTAAAAATGATTTCTAGAAACTAAGATGACATAAAAAAAGAGCAATAATTAAGTACAAATTTTGTATTTAATTAATTAGATATGGTAAATTTAGATAAAGAACAACTTCAAAAAAACTAATTTATGTTAAAATAATCACTTGGATTAGATTATTTATAGAATACAGGTATATTTAAATTAATTATTCAAAGCTGAATTGTTATTTTAAATGGGTCAATATGATTTGGCAATCGAATTGAATGACAAAGTATTGGCAATCGATACGGAATCTATATATTCTTTAAATAACAAAGGTATATTTAAATTAATTATTTAAAGGTGAATGCTTAATGAATTTGGGTAAATATGAATAGGCAATTTATTGGTATGACAAAGTATTGGCAATCAATTCGGAATCTTTAGAATCTTTAAATAACAAAGGTTTATTTAAACTAATTATCTAAAGGTTTATGCTTATTTGAAATGGGTCAATATGATT